GGGGTTGGGGTTACCCTTAAAGCTGCTCAGTCGTGTGCCCCCCCTTCCCTCACACCCTCAGTTCTTCTGGCCAAAGGAAGGTGTGTTTCTCAGAAGTTCAGAGGTTACTCTCTAGTTCACCCTTTCTGTTTCACACGTGGGGAGACTAAGGGTCAGAGAAGTTGGTTCACCCATCCAAACACGCACAGCACAGCTGAAAAGACAGGTAAAAGCCAGGAGTATTTGTTTATTTCCTTATTAAAGCCGGGGACAGTGAAACTAGGGAGGGCTTAGGATAGAAGAAGCAACAGGAGAGGGCCTGGATGGGGCTGCTTTGGCTCTAGAAATGGTATAGGAAAGAAATTAGCTTTGGTGGGACCGCTGTCAGCTCACTGGAGAGTCAGAGAAAAGGGATTCTGGAGGGAGAGCGCAAGAAAAGCCAGGATCGCCGACTTCAAACTAGTGCCCCTTCCACCTCACCTAGGTGCTCCTGACCTCCGGTTTCTGTGGCTTCAGGACCCTACTGCCTGGCTGAGCTGGTGGGGCATATAGTAAAAATCAGTACTGACTTCAGGGCTCCTTTAGGCACCTTTGCTGCCCTACACAGCCCACAGCATAACACCAGGGCGTGGAGCTGGGAGACAGATTCAGGGCTTGGCCCAGGACCGCTCCGACTGTCCATTGCTCCCCTGGTTGCAAATCTTCACGGGGGGCCTTAGAATTTAGGAGATACTTGAGGGTGATGGCCAGGAGGTGTATACCCCCAAAGCTACAAGCATTCCTCCGTACAGTGGCTGGAATGGCCACCTTTGTCCAGAAACTCAGCTGTCCTGACATCAGTCTTAGCAGCAGCGGGTCGTTTTCACAGTTACCCAAGTCTTGGACTAAGCTTTTCTCAGCCCAGACAGCAGCAGACGGCAGGCGTCGTCCGAACCCATGGAAATCCCTTTTCTCATCTTTGGAAGGTTTGTTTTTTTTAATGGTACACGATGGTTAGAGCCTTTGGGGGAATGCCTCTGTTGTCTCTGTCTTCCTTTTCGGCCTCACTCAGCTTCCTCTTACAGTCTCTATTCTATGTCTTGCCTAACTTTTAGGCTGACTATGAAGACACCTCGGACTGAGCGGACTGTCTGCTGCTGCCTCGGGCCATCCCAACTGGCTGATTTGAGGAGGGGCCTGGGATCCGCCACCTTCTCTCTGATGCCAACTTAGAGCTAAAACAGCAGCAGCAGCAGCAGCTCTGCCCCCTGGTGGACATGTGAGGCAGAGCGCCTCGAATTTCAGAAGCCGCATCTTGGCGGCGCAGGTTGGGGAAAAAGATTTTCTTTGTTTACTCTGTTGGAAACAGCAAAACTTGGCAGAAGATAATTTCTCTCTCTCTCTCTCTCTCTCTCTCTCTCTCTCTCTCTCTCTCTCTCTCTCTCTCTCTCTCTCTCTCTCTCTCTCTCTCTCTCTCTCTCTCTCTCTCTCTCTCTCTCTCTCTCTCTCTCTCTCTCTCTCTCTCTCTCTCTCTCTCTCTCTCTCTCTCTCTCTCTCTCTCTCTCTCTCTCTCTCTCTCTCTCTCTCTCTCTCTCTCCTTCCCTCCCTCCCTCCCTCCCTATAATCTGGTCAATTTGGATGCAGAAAACACTTCTGTTTTCTGTTTTTTTCCCCTGGACTGCTTTTTCCCCCTGCCTGCTAGCCAAACCCTGCCTCCCCACACTCTCTTCAAATTCTATTTCAAATTCCACCTCCTTCATAACTTTCCTGACTCTCCTCTCCTATGTGTCTTTTGAAATACAGTTGTACACAGACCCAGCACACAGCTCCCTCTTACATGCTGTTTTCACTGCTGTTTCCTTGAAGCCTGGGGCCATGTCTTGTGCATCTTTTGTGTTCACAGTGCCCAGCACAGGGCTGGGGTCAAAAACTGCTCTCAATAAGCTGCTTAAGTGCTTAATTAATGGGTTAATTTCTACAGAAGCAGCTCTAGGCCCTGGCTTCAGTTAACCTTCCAGAACTCTAAGTTCTTCGGGGGAATCTAGATAGTGATCTAATAAAATAGAGCCTTGCACAATCAGGAGTTTCACAAAGCAGTTTCACAAGGGAACACCACCACCACCACCCAGGGAGGGGTGAGGAAGTTTGCAGTGGACTCTCAGAGGAAGGAGGAGGATGGTGGCGACATGGGAGAGTCACAGGATGAAAAACTAGGAAAGGGAGCCTCTGCTCCAGGGATCAGAGAGGCAGCACAGGCTCTGGAGCCAGTTTTAGATGCAGATGCCACCACCCTCTGTGCGGCCTTGGGCAGGTTTCCTCTCTGTGCCTTAGTCTTGTCACCTGTAAGCACAAGTACCCATCTCATAGTGAGATGATGAGGAAAAATTGAGATGATGGAGTTGATAATGTGCAAAGTGCCAGAATAGTGCCTGGCACATAGTTAAGTGCTATATAACAGTTTGTAAATGAATTTTTCAGCTTAGCTGTCATGTAAATGGAATAGGGGGACATCATATGATCTTTCCGTTCTCTTCTGCACCGACCTCGCAGGGCAGTGCAAGAGCTTTGGGGTCAGTCAGGTCTGGGTTGGCTCTTGTCTCTGTTAGCAGTTATGTCACCTTGGGCAGATCACGCTGCTTCTTGGGACCTCAATTTTCTTATCTGAGAAATGGGGATAATTGTGTCTCCCTAAAAAGACTGTTGTGTGCATTACATTGCTTGTAAATGCCTGGTATAGAAGGAGCTTAATAAACAGAAGCTATAGCCAGGTCGGCATGGCTTGGTGGTTGAGTGTCAGCATATGAAACAGGAGGTCACGGTTTGATTCACACGCTCAGGTTGCAGGCTCGATCCCCAGTGTGGGGCATGCAGGAGGCAGCCGATCAATGATTCTCATCATTGATGTTTCTATCTCTTTCTCCCTCTCCCTTTCTCTCTGAAATCAATAAAAATATATTTAAAAATAAACAGAAGCTATAGTTATTATCAATGAGAAGAGCCATATATAAAGGAGAGTAGGATCTTCAAAATCATGTTTTAAGAAAGATTGAACATACTGAAGAGCAATGAGACCAGCTGTAGTCACAGAGCTTTGGAGTAGGAGGGCAGGCCCTGGGTCGGGGCTTTGATGAGATATCATGGCATCTGAAGAAACCAGAAATGGTTTGACTTGCACATTAGTTCTAGGAACATTTTCTGCCCAAGGGCTGCACTGAGGGTGTGGACCCAGTGGGCCTGGTGCCAGCAGCTTTAGGCCCTTCCTGTTCTCCTTCCCAGGATGGGGGACTTTATCAGGAGAGGGTGTGGGCCTTAGAAGCCTGTTGTTGAGTGTGTGTGTGTATGTGTGTGTGTGTATAAATGGCCCTGAGACATCCTTCCCCAGGTGTTGGACTCCCAGGCCTTGTGTGGCCTCCTCCATAGCAGACCAGCCTGCAATAGCTTCTCAGAGCTGCCATTCCCAGCCCTGATGGAGGGCACCCCAGCTTGATTGCCAGCACTTATCCAATGGGTGAGGGGAAGGAGGGTATGACAGTCTGAAAGCCAAATTAATTCCCTTCAGCGGCACATGTGGAAAAGTACTGAATGGAATATGCAAATGCTCTATGGAGTCCTTTGAGTTCTCTCTGAAGGGGAAGGAGGGTTGCAAAACCCAAGAACAAGGTGTTGCAATCCCAAGCATGTTGGGAGCCACTTTTATGGTCCTTCCACTTGACAGCTCTTGTCCCCTGTGACCCACGAGGAGTGGTTTGCTCCCCGCAGGTCAGGCTCTGCACTAAGTTGTTGACCAGGGATTCCAACACCTGGACTCACCTACCTGAGGACCTGTTTGGGGGTCACAGAGGAATCTAGAACCCTCATTCCAAACACGTGTTTTCAGCACCTAGAACCGAACTCAAGGGTAGAATCATGGCTTAAAAAGAGTCATGAAGGTGCTGATATTGGTTGTCTCTGTGGAGGAGGAAATGTGTTTTTATTTTCTCTTTGTTTTACTTTCTGATTTTTTTTTGGGGGGGGGGCAAATGCATATTGCTCTTTTAATAAGAAAAAAAATACTTTAAAAATGTTCCCAGCAGAGTAGTAACAGTGTGCAGTCCCTGGTACCAATGGAAGGTAGCCTTGGCTCAACCAGTTTCTAGCTGTGTAATCTTGCAGAAACTGCTCTCTCTACACAATCTCCTCAACTGCAGAACTGGAGCGATAGTAGTAATCCAATAAGACTGTTGTGAGGATTGGATGAAAAATGTGTCTGACACAGCACGTGATAAGCCCTTAGTAAGCGGCACTTGTTTCTGATTTACAGATTGTCTTTTTCCAGGGAAGATGTCTTGAAATTGAGGTCTGGTTGCCTGGGAAAGTTGGGGGGACGCCTGGGGCAGGTTTAAATGGTGAATGGGAAAGACTCTCACTGGAGAGTGGCAGGAGGAAATGGACAAGTAACAAAGAAGGGGTTGATGGTGGGTCCAGGGTGAGACAAGGTTAGCAAAGGAGAGAGTGGGCTGTGGGGGAGAACGGGAACTCAGTGGACAAGGGCGAGATGTTCATGGGGGCCATTTGGAGCAGGGACCCCAGGAAACAGCGCATGTGCCAGTTGCTGTGTAAGATCTGAGGTGGACTGTGTCCTCTGGTCCCCGGCCCTCTCCAGGCTGCGTTCTGCCTTCCTCTCAGCCTCACGTTGCATCACTCGATGCCAGTCTTCTTTCAGTTCCTTGAGGGCGCCATGTTTCTCCCCGTTGCCTGACCTTTGTGCATACTGTTTGCCCTGCCAGGAACTTCTACTCTTTTTCTGGCTAACTCCTAGTCAGCCTTCAGATCTCAAGCTTAAAGCTCAATTCTTTACAGAGGCCTTCCCTGACCGTTCGGTATAACCCAGCCCGCGGCCTCCTGTTCCTCTCTCAGGCCCTCAGCACCCGATATCAGTGCCAGGGTCGGTAGTTGTGTATGTCTGTGATTATGCACCCTTTGGTGTCCCTCCTGGGCTGAAAGCTCCAGGGCAGCAGGACCAGCACCTTTTAATTTGCTCACTGTTGTGTCCTTGATGGCCAGCACGTAGTAGACACTCAATAAACATTTATTGAAATGGCAGAAGAATAAGCCACTTCAATTGTGACCTGTAAAATGCATTTGCGCCTCTCCTCTGGCTTACCTCCGTCTTGATTGATGCTGGCTGATTGTTTGAAGGAACAGGAGATTTGGGGACTGTGAAGGATGCCTCAGCCAGTTCCTCTCTCATTCCCCTTTTCTCCTGAGGAAGCAGGCTTCCCTTTCCAAAACTAAAAACTTTAGATCAGTGTTTCTCAAACTATATATATATATAGTATATATATATACTATATATATATATAGTTTGAGAAACACTGATCTAAAGTTTTTAGTTTTGGAAAGGGAAGCCTGCTTCCTCAGGAGAAAAGGGGAATGAGAGAGGAACTGGCTGAGGCATCCTTCACAGTCTATAGTATAGTATATATATATATATAATTACTTGGGGGATATTCTTAACATGCAAATTCTGATTCTGGAGGTCTAGAGTATGGGCCAAGATTCTGCATCTCTAACAAGCACCTGGCGATTCCCATGCTGTTGGACCATTCTGAGAGCCAAGATGCTCAAACTACAACCTCTTTCTCATCTACAGGCCACTGTGATCCTTAAGCTTAATGTTGAGTCGCTGTGCCCTCTGTCGGCCACTGAAGGGCATGACAACTGACCAAGTAGATAAAAGACAGCATGCATGAATGTTAGATTAAAACACACAATTCTTGGGGAACAAGATGTGCTAAAAGATTATAATAGCGTTAGAAAATGTACCTTTGACTCTGTAAGGGATCCTGGCCATGTTGAGACAAGAGGAACTTGCAAAACTGGAGGATGTTAGGGCTGGGAGGAGCCTTTACACACACCTAGTCAGTAATTTCCTTGTTCTTTTGTGGCTGTTTGCCCTCCCGCCCTCTTTTTATATTTTATTTTATCCCCCCCTTTTTATTTTTTAAATAGCAGAGGGCTTTCTTCATTATTATAACTTCCATGGGCTGTAAGCACTTTGGCCTTTGTGTGCCCCTTCCTCTATAAAAATTATATTTTATTATTGCATTGGCATAAAGGCGAGTATATTAAAATATACATAATTTTTTGACATAAAATATATAGGGTGTCCCAAAATTCACGCAAGAATTGCAAATCTTGCGTGAATTTTGGGACACCCTATATTTTCTTGTAATTTAGAAAAGAAAACATGTCCATTGGTTCCTAAAAAATACTGTGGGCTTTAGGCCCCTTGCCTCCTATATCAGCCCTGTTTTCCACCTGGTAGCCGGGTTATATCTCCCTGCACACGTCTAAGGCTGTCCTAGATGCTTCGAGGTCTGTATTGCTTTAAAATTATATATATAATTGATTTCAGGGAGAGAGAAAGATAGAAACATCAATGATGAGAGAGAATCATTGATCGGCTGCCTTCTGCACACCCCTCACTGAGGATGGAGTCTGCAACCAGGCATGTGCTCTGCCGGGGATTGAACCATGACCTTCCGGTTCATAGGTTGAGGCTCAACCACCGAGCCATGCCGGCTGGGCCTGTATTGCTTTTTAAGCAAGAGACCAAGTTGAACATGTTGAACGACTTAGACGTATAAGGTGCTGAGTGCTTACTCTGTGCCAAGTGCTTTAAACACATCTTGTAAGTTTCAGAACAGCCTCGTTCGGTGGGAATCACTACCCTGTTATCCCTGTGAGAAAATCAGAGTTGAGGGGACACCACTTTCCTCCCATCACAGGACTAGTAGGTGGCAGATCTGAGATTTGAACCCAAAGGGTTCAGTCTGATCTCCTCCGAAGGCCATGTCCCTGATGTGACAGGGTATACAGTGAGGTGCCTCCTGGATATACGTCACCAAATGCATGTGAGGGGACCTGGGCTGCCGGAGGGCAAGATGTCGGGGACAGCGGGAGGGTCTCAGGGAAGAGGGAGACCAGAGGCGGGCTTTGAAAGGACACTGACTGCAGAGATGACATGGCAGGGAGGGCATTTGGGGCCACAAGCGTGTGGAGGTGGGTTCTGTGGTTTAGGGGACCACGGAGTGATATTCCAAGCTGGAGGGAACTCAAGGTTAGGGAAGAGAGGGCAACGAGGCAGGGTATGGCTATGGAGGGTGAGAAATTTGGGCCCAATTTAATGTTTAATGAGAGGTTCTTTGTTTCCTTGAGTCCTAAGACCCAGTCCTGAATTATCAGTAACAGCAACGTTTTATCCGCGTCTCAGTTCCTTATCTATCCAACGGGAGGTATAAAGCTGGCCTGACACTCTCAGAGATGTCAGGAAGCTCAATGAGTGTCAGCCCCTTAGGGTAGGGAGCCTGTGTCAGAGGCAGGCTGTATCCCCAGGGCCTTTGTGCTCACTACACATTTGATGAAGGAATGGACATTCCTTTACAAATCCCTTTACAAGCTGCAGCATGGCTGGAGAAAGCACCCCAAGCCAAAAGAGGGTGCTTGCCAGTGACACAAGGTTTTGTAGGAGGAACCATGGGGGTCTCCGCAGCGCTGTGGGTTGAGAATTTGCACCCCTGGACTCTCCTTTAAGCTTTAGGATTTAGGAGGCCAAGACATTTAACCCTAAATTCTTATATCTAAATCTACCTTAACTCTGGCTTGCTAACTAGAAATATAGCTCATTCCTTCTATTTCATGTTCTCTTAATGTTTTAGATACTTAATACAGATGTAACTAACTTTATTTTTTGGGTGTGTGTGTGTAAGACAGCAACCAACCTATCATATCTCATGATTTTGTGGGTCAGGAATTAAGACAGGAATTGTCTGGGGAATTCTGCCCAATATGGCC